GTGTGTGTGTGTGTGTGTGTGTGTTGCAGGTATTACTCATGTTGTGGAAACATTTAGGACATTGAGGTAAGGTATAGGCAAGTAGTAATTGTAACGTAGTGTCCTTTGAAATCATGAAGACATGACTCTGTGTGTGTGCGTGCGTGCGTGTGTGTGAGAAGAGTTGAACTATTAATAGAAAGTGTTCCTCAGTTCGCTCAGTTCGCTGTTGAGTGTTTTGACTGTGTTGTACTTGTGTTCACCTCTTTAGCTTTTCAGCCAAGTTTCTTGTTATAATTGACAATTATAGAATCATCTTACCTGTTGTTTAGTTCATCAGTGGCTAAATATGGGGAGGGGTATTGTTGAATTGGTGTTCGGACAATCATCAGCTTCACTCCAAGCATAATTCTCTCAATATGCCAGTTTGAGTTGTACTAGCCATTGTTTTACATCATCAGCAGTGTTCTTAGTAAGGTTAAGTCATCACTTTTCTTTTATCTGATATGTTGTTCATCTTTTTGATGCTTTAAGTGAATATATTTACTTGCTTCATACTGCATGCATTGAATTCATGAGATTCAAACACAGAGTAAAGAGGTTATTATTGGTGACTAGACACCTGCAAAGTGCAACAGGGATACAATAAATCAGTTCAATAATAATGTTCAGTTTTTGTTGATTCTGAACCAGAGACATACTGATGTTGTCATTTTTAGGCAGTTTTTTATATATTTTATTTGTTTCTAATATTATATCTACTCCCATAAGAGAGCAACAAACATTAGATTAGTGCAGTTGTATCCAATATTACAATTATTGCCCCTGTCATTAAAATAAGTGTGTATCCTTATGAAACATATGATTTATCATCATACTGATGTCACCCACATCCATAATTATCCACACTTGAGCACGTGCTCTGTGTATGATATGCAGATGATTGTGACACCACGTCTATAAATACTACTGCTGAGTGTGGTTTAGGAAACAGGGCGGTAAAAATAATATATTTTATATACATATTAAACAAAGGAGTTTTGTACTTAGCAATGCATGTTTAATTTTTTAATTTACACATGTGCAATTCATACCAATAGCTGGTTGTTATAAATTAACATCATTATTTCTTGTCCTCTTCTGTTTTTTCTCTTTTCTCCTACAGGTATGCATTGAAAAGCTTCAGTACAGTACAGTGCATTGTTCTGGTTCTGCACCCGACACTTCCAGTCCAATAATGCACTCAGGAAGAATCTAGTTTGTCCCATTCTTCTTTTTGCAAGAACGACTTTAGTCCATGGCTGGTCCCGCATTAAATCGGTAACCACTCGGCGCCAAGCTGGACCCGAAGACTCCTCCTCCCCACACCTGCTCCTGCTCCACTGCCCCGCCCCCTAACCAGTCTTTGGACCCCACATGCACGTCTCACCTCTACAATCCAGGGCTCCCATTGGCCAGTGAGGTGGAGGAGTATGTCAGTCAGACTGAGAATCTGCCGGCTGCACTCCAGGAGTTCGCGGCCACCTACAGAGATGCAGAGACCATTACCGGTAATGTTGCGTGCATGTGTTAAAACCATTTGTAAACAATTGTACTGGAATCCATAGAGCGGTGGTGGATCAGCACAAGATGCATAAATATATCATTCAACTGTCAAAAAATTCTGTCCCTTAAGTCTGTGCACTACCATACTATACAAAATTATAAGTTTCCAAGAAAAACAGACATTAAGTTCTGATGGTTTAGAATAAGATGGAAGGATCATTGCAGGCTGAAGATGGTGTGTGCATGCATGTCTGTGTTTGTGTGTTTGTGTGTCTGTAGCTGTGAGAAACTGTCCCTCTCTGTGTGACCCCTCTGTCTAATGTCACATCCTGTCAGTGAAGCAGCTCTATGGGTCCTCAGCTCCTTGTATAAACCAGCAGTGGAAAGAGAGAAGAGCTCTCAGTGGACAGCCTCTGTCAACTCTTTCACTCACCCCCCTTCTTTTTTCCCTCCCCCCTCATCCTCCTCTCCAGGGGAGCAGAGAATCACTAATGTCTTGTCTCCAGTGGTCAGAATTTAGCTGTGCTGTGGCACATCCTCTTTCTCTGCACAGTCTGAATGAGTCTCGACCAAATATCTGCCAGATGCTTCTAACAGCTGATGTGATGTCACAGAAAAGATGAATCGGTGCTCACAGTTTAATCACGCAGCAGTCTGGATTGTTCCATGTGCACATTTAAGGAAACAAAAACTGATGATGGATGAATTTTTTAGAATCAGCCTCTAAAGTCCTCATGCTAGACGGAGCTGAGACTGCAGTAAGACTGTGTGGAGTAATAAGTGCATGAGTCCAGCACAGACTCTCTCTGATAAGTGCAACCATGCTATGTCTCTACTAAGTGTAATGAGAAACATCTGAATCTGGCCTGGCACAGAAGTTCATAAGGATTTCCAAGCACTTGTAGAACACTAGAATGAATAGTGTGTTCAGCAGTGATTTGAGTTATGGCAGTTCCTTACCCACACATTACAGGAAAAGGTCCTCCCAAACAAACACACACTCCCCTTGACCTCAGTTCCTTGTATTGTTTTCAACAGAAAGGTCCCTCAGGCAGCGGAGTTTCTTACCTTGAATACAAGCACACACTTGGCCCTGCAGTTCATCCATCCATCCATCCATCTTTTCAACTGTAGTGCAGTGGTGGATCTGTACTTCATTCGAGTAGACTTATTTTACTCTCCATGTTTATTCCACTACATATATCAGAAAATATCTGTACTTTCTATTTGGTTCATGCACATTGGATTCTGAAGAGGACTCTGCTGAGACTCAGCCATACTGATGAAGTAGACTGTTTATTATTAGGGAATAAGCTCCATTCAGCAAGTACTTTTAATACTTAAAGTATATTTAAAAGTAATTATTCAATTTCCCTCAAGTAGAAAAAAGTAGACGATGGACAAATAAAGAGGGTCATATGCAAGACAGTGCAGTGCAGTCAGTCTCAGTCATCCTGCAAAGTGTTTGATGCTTATTATGCCCAGTTCTGTTCAAACTGTCTCTTCATCAAGTGCTGAAAATATATTTAGATATCTGGGTCCCAGAGGCGTTGCTGGGGATTTCAGATTTAATTTTGTTTGACTTCAATGTCTGCCAAAGTCTTGTTTTCTCATCTGATTTGTATTTGTTGCTGTCAAAGTTTAAATGACAAGAGAAGCTAAATGAATCACTTGTTGATTTCAAACTGGCCAAGAGTGGTTGCATGTTGGGGCATTAGCCAGTAGTGCAACACTTGTACAATCACATGTGGAAATGTCATTCTGTGGTAATATCTGCTGTGGTCACGTGTCTTTAACAGTACAGTCATTCAGGAGCAGGACTGGTGAGGTGGTTAGGTCAGTGCTGCCATCTGCTGGTATGAGAAGAAGTGTATCTCAAACGTTCCATTCTAAGTTAGTTCAGTAACTGTTCTTCCACCTCATCTTTCTTTATCTCTTTCTGCCTAATTCTCTACATGAACATTTCCTGAGAGTTTGTGAGCGAGCGAGTGTGTGTGCGTGTAGCATTTCACCAAAATGAACACAAAGAGCTGAATGGAGCAGCTCATTGCCATGGGGGCAGTTCCTGGGCGTAAGGTTAATTCTCCGTGGTTACCGGCCAACTGTGATGTAAAGAGTTGAGTAACTGTGAAATTATGGGATGCTTGGCGAGGGAGAGAGGGATCAGGAACAAACAGGCAGACAGAGAGGAGACAGAGGCAAAGTTATGTAAGTGGACGTGCAGAGTAGAATCCAAACTGCTGAGTCTGCTGCCTGACTGTGATCCAACCATGGCGTGCTAAAACAGCCTTTGTGTTGACTTTGGTTCAGTGTTTTTATTTCATACACACAGTAGAGATGCAGCTACGTAACGTGAAACTATGCGGACCTGGTGGCGTCGCTATAAAGTGAGCAAATCTATTACATGTGTGTTGGGATATTCAAATCTGTGTGCTGTTACAGCCGTTTGTCTGTGTATTTGACCTTTTTTGAGGAGTGCTGTCATTTTGTAGGATTTTAAATGAACTTGCTGCACATATGAAGTTGCACTTTTGTCACGGATACAGTGTTTTTGTACATGTAAATGATCCACTGTAACAACACCTGCAACCTCAACAGGCTGATCTGCTCGGTGGTTGACGACAGTGACACATCTGGTCAGATTAGTTTCACCCCACAGCACAGAGGCAGAGCAGTAGGGTTGTTTTCTCTCTTTGTTATGAAAGGTTGTGTTGTGACATGTGACGTCTTGTGTTTACATATCTGTTACAGCTTCATGTCCTGTCATGTCTGTGCCTCCTCCTCGCTTGATTGTTTCCAGCAACTACATCTGTGGATGCTTCATAACACAGGATATTTAAAAATGTAGCTTGATTTCATTTAAAAGAAATACTTTGTCTTCTTAGTTGTCTACTGAATACTTCAGTGGCACAGTTTAGTGCTACCATACCAAACTACTTTGTACTCGATCCTGGTCCATGGTCCGTGCTAACTACAGGTCTGAATGCACCCAAATGCAACCTCACTGGTTCCTAAGATTTGATCACATAAACCCATTTCGAAGGTGGTCTGGAACAGATTTGCACACTAGCGCAGCTGTGGCTCAGGAGGTAAAGCGGTTTTTCCACTACCCAGAAGGTCAGTAGTTCAATCCCAGTCACCCTTATTCTACAACCAACCAAAGTGTCCTTGGGCAAAATACTAAACCCCAAAGTCCCCCTGACACCTGTGCCGGCAGTGTGTGAGTGATGTGTAATAGAGGAAGCACATAAATGCAAAGTCTGAATGTGTGTTTCAAAGAGCAATCATCAAGACTAGAAAAGCACTTTGTAAATACAGATCATGTCTCTTTGCTGTGCGAAGGTAAATGTGTCCACATGAAGGACTAACTACTCAGCTGACGTCCTCTGACCCGCTACAGCTTAAAAACATGTTCCCTTCTCAGTGTCCATACGCTGATTCGTTTGTCACATTATCAACACTGATCAACACAGAATGATTGATACCTTCTTTTAAATAGTTGAAGTCTTTATAGCCGCATTCATTCATTCAGTCCCTCCTGACTCAGCTTGCTCTCTTTCTCTCTATTACCCTCTGGCTTTTTGAGGCACACACACACACACACACACACACATTGTCATTGGACAAATCTGTAATCTCAGACTGGGTAAAAACATCATAATTCTGTCATCGCAAACACAAATGACGGTCTTGGTGATTTGCATATAGAGCAGGGAAGTGAGGTCTGATCACAAGTGATAACAGGACACACATTTAGGTGTGAACAGACAAATGTAGTGCTGACCACTTGTGATCGGATCTCTCAGGACAAATGTTGATAGCAGGTGTAAGCAGGGCCTTATCTTCTTACTTCCTGGTTTTGAATCAGTGTCTCTAATGAGATTAAATGGGCAACTTTAGTATATTGACCGACAACCAACAGACCCTGTTTTGTGTGACCATAAATCATTGATATTACGTTCAGTAACCTTAACCCAATGTCCCGTAGGCCTACTCTGTGGCAGTGTGTTTTGTATGAGTCTTAACACATGCAGCTGAACTTTTAACTAATTACCTCTGATGGAAAATGTACAACTAAACTGGACACGGGCCAATTCACTTTCTGTGGACTGGTGCTAATTCTCCTTATTCAAGAAAACACCTCGGTGAAGACGTGCACCCATACTGGACTCAGACATTTACAGTGTTAGTGACATGTGAACACCTCAGTGCAGCTGTCCTCATGTACACGTTGTAGACAGTGATATTTGACCACGTTGTAGTACTCTCACGTATTTCATGTGCGAACGCCCTGTGAGTGGCAGCGGCTTTCATGTGTTGTCCAGTCTAATTCTGGACAGGCCTGAGCTGCAGCTACATCACAGAAGTATTGCAGTATTTGGTTGTATGGACTGGGTGTGGAAATACTTGATGTGACTTTGTGAAGGATAGGGATAGTCCAAAAAGCAGACACCACCAAGAGGCCACCAAGTAGCTGCAGCACACAGAGGAGGATGTGATAGAAAAGTACAGCCGATTTAAAAATTTGATTAAATATTTGTTTTTAGTTTTTCAAAAAGATGTCTCCTCAGTCACATGTCATAGATTGGTTGCAGCTCTTTTGAATTAAACATTGTGATATTTATTTTCAGACGCAGTCTAACCAGTCACGTTTAAAGGAAATTGGCACTTTATTGCTTTGTAGACCACCTATTATTCCTCATCTAATTCTTTTGTACACTGGCTTAGATATACATTTGGTGCCAGATGTTGGGATATGTTAGGATTACATGGAAAACACACTGAGTGGAGTTTTGGCAGCTTTTTTCTGCTGTAGCTTGGCTCGTGTTGTGCAGGCCATGATTAACGCTGTGACGGTGTTGAAATCTGCTCAGTTGACCTGTTGCTCAGCAGGGAAAACAGTTTTAAACTTGCACATCTACTTTTCAGTAGCAAAGTCTCATCTGTCATCAGGTCCATGACTCCATGTAAGAGTTTAATATAGAGGAACTTTAGAGGAGCATTAAACATGGATAGGAAAACAGTAGAAACAGCTTCAGGCCTGATATTATCTAAACTGTATTTACCTAAGAGAGAGAGGGAGAGAGAGAGACCGGCTGGGTCTGTTGGGAAGAAGAGAGAGAGAGGGAGAGAGAGACCAGCTGGGTCTGTTGGGAAGAAGGGAGAGAGAGAGCGACCAGCTGGGTCTGTTGGGAAGAAGAAGAGAGAGGGGGGGGCAGAGCGGGGTTTGGGCGGTCCATGTGGATTCCATCATTGGCATGTCAGGCATGACGAACCAGTTTGGCTCGGGACTCTTCTCTTCACTCCTCCCTTCCTCTTTTTTCCCCCTCTCTCTCCCTCTTGTTCTCGTGCTCTCTCTGTCGCCTGCATGCAGTGCTGTCCTCTAAAACTTTTACGCTCTCCCTCTCTTATTCTTCCTATCTCTCAGCCCTCCTCCTCTCCTTCCTCTCTGTTATTTCTTGCGACCTTGCCGCCTTCTGGACCAGTGGAAAATGTGATCGGAGGGCAGGGGAGTCGGCGATTGTCGGGCTTCAGGCACCATGAGTGAGTACACTGCACTCCGTGGTTATTTTGCCAGTTTCAGCTGGTCACTTGTCTGGTTTAAGACCAGTCTGGGTAACAGCGGGATAGAGTTCTCTCTCTGTCTCTATCTCTCTATCTTCCCTCTGTTGTCTGTTTGTTTTTGTTCGTCAGTGAGTCACTTAGATGTTTCCACCCTTTTCTGTCCATTGTGGTCAAGGGAGTATTTAGGGGTTAGTGCTTTGACAAGTTCGGTATTTTCCTTTTTATTTGGTTTCAAAAAGCCAGATGAATGTAAGAGTTCCAGTTCTGTTTGGATATTAAACTTTGCAGTAAAAGTGAAAAGGTTGACTTGGCTCTTCTGCAGCCTGACAGGATGCAGCCGTTCAACTCGGAAACGTTTGAAAAGTCACATCCATGTGACTTTTTTGTCTGACCAGTACAGTGAGGGGCTGGTTTGAATTCAGCCCATGTGCTTGTGGACTCTTCTCTCTTCAGTGACCTCATTTACAGTCTCAGTGTAGTGATACTTAACCCTATACTGTATGTGCAGTTTTGCATCATGTGTCAATCAAGTGGAAAAACAACAGTTCTCTTCAACTGTTCCTTTGGCTTAGTTTGACCAAATTGTTAATGACTCTGTGGAATCATTCATCAGTGTATTTCCATTAATGTCCTGATGTTTAAGTTGACCCTTGTCTGTGTCCTCTGCACATGTTGCTCTGTTCCATGTACAGTAATTGCTCCGATTGATTCACTGTGGCCTATTCTTACATTTGAACTTGAACTTTCTTCTTCTGGTGGCCCCTATAGCTGCTATTCATGTTGGCATGTCCCTGCAGCTTCTCTTCTCTGTGACCGCAGTCCATATTTACAATTGAACACGGGACTTGAAGCTGTCAAAACTTAAAATGCAGCCATCGTATGATTGTTAAATACATAAGTTCAGTAAATAATAACTGTTGCTGCTGTATATACAATTGTAAAGGTGACCTGTAACAAA